CTTCGGCGGCGGGTCCTTCACTCGCTCCGGGACCCGCCGCCGAAGTGCCCCGAAGATGCGGAGCGGAAGGACCCCTCCGCCGAATGCTCAGAGGAGGAGCGCTGCCGGCTAGGGCAGCAAAAACCCTGGCGCCGCTCCTGGGTGTCTTGATCATTCCACTAGTCGCTTTAGAAAATGTTGACCTACTATCTCAAACCATGTCTTCCCATACTGCACTGGGTGAAAGTTTATGCCTTGATTTTTTTCCCCCCACAGATCATAGAATATCAGGGTTGGAAGGGACCTCAGAAGGTCATCTGGGCCAACCCCCTGCTCAAAGCAGGACCAATCCCCAGACAGATTTTTACCCCAGTTCCCTAAATGGCCCCCTCAAGGATTGAACTCACAACCCTGACTTGAGCAGGCTAATGCTCAAACCACTGAGCTATCCCTCCCCTTAAGACATTTGTGACGGACACAAGATTTGAACCCAGATCTAATCATTCCTAGCCCAGTTCTGTAACCATAAGACCATCCTCTAAAGGATGCTGATCACTTATCTCTCCCGTTGACTTGGGCAATCAGCAACTCAGAGCAGACTGGTAAACCCTAGAGTGGATTGTCTGTACAATGCAACCACCTGGGATTCCATTGCCCTTGGGATTAGGAAATCTGTCAGTATCCCAGGCGAGATGCAGCCACCACTGAGATGACTGGGCGAGACAGGTTTTGTGCAGAACAAGAGCAGTTTGTTTCCTTCTTCCACATGCTGTGGTGGTCTTTGCTGTTCCTAAAATGAGACCTTTCTCTGTGCTTTGTTTTTTTTAGACAATCAAGATTACTATGACTATCAAGGTAAGCGCTTGCTCTGTGGAGCACTCATCCGCTCTTCGGAGCTGCCCTGTTTGCTACAGCTGGCCAGCACTGGCTGGAGTGTAACTAACGTGCCGCAGAGAGAATATGAATTCTGCCGTTCCCAGCCTGGCTTCCCTTTTGCCTTGATCTTGCAGGGAAGGTCTAGTCCTGCGGGGTTTTATGATGCAGTCTGTTGCCCCAGTTACTATGTGGCATTGATACGTCGCTGCGGGATTAAGGAAGCAACGGAGAAGGATCCAAACTGCAAAACGGGGAAAATGACCAATAAAACAAGGCTCCTGGGGAGGGAGAGTGCTGGGGTCTCTGGCCCCGTTTGGCGGGGTGGGGTGTGGGTGGTGCCCGATTAGTCTGAGCTGAACATGCTTGTTGTCCGTTGCAGATGTCACCCAGCGCACTCCCGAGGAGCAGTTCCAGTATCAGTCCCAGCAACAGACCCAGCAAGAGATCATCCCAGCGCCAACCCCAGGTGCGTCGTGGAGCCCTATTGTAGCCAGTATGTCTGCTGCCGTACACTAGCCGAGGAGCCGATCCGCCCTGTTTAAATGTGGAACAGAGGATAAACTCTGTGTGTGTGTGTGTGTGTGTGTGTGTGTGTGTGTGTGTGTGTGTGTGTGTGTGTGTGTGTGTGTGT